CTTTTCTCCCGGTGCCTCTGGTCTGCTGGGGACCATCTCCAGCAGACCAGGGACACCGGGAGCAAAGGAGGCGGAGGGGCGCTGGGGTATAAGATGAAACCCTATCTTTTAATTAAAAAGATAGGGGGTCGTCTTATATGCCCAGTCGCCCTATACGCCGGAAAATACGGTACCTGGGACTACTTTCAGTTGCATCAACTGGCAATAGTTTGCTAGTATTTTAACCTTGGTTCATTCCCCTTCTCCAGCCTCTCTGCCAAGGGCTGAGGGAGGGAGCAGCTGTCAGTTTTGCATCTGCTGGGGCCTAACCTGCAGCTGGGGAACACCAGCGGGGAACTGGCAGGTGGTTTCTGCTTCTCTTGTCTTCCTGGGTGGCACGAAGGAAGCAGAATGGGGTAGAAAATCTGTGCCTAGATCATTAGGGTGCTGCTGAGGAGATTCAGTGGCTGACTTCACAGCAGCATTTTCAGTTGTAAGCTGCAGCTGAGATCTGTGAGTTCCTATGTTCATCATAATATTGGAATTTCACTTCAGGTAAATTGACAAGAAATCCTTGCTGTCAACGCAGATATCATCTATTAACCCTGGCTATTACTTTAAAGATGTAGGGATTGGTGATTTCTGAGTCCTCTTCACCCCCACTCATAATACATTAGGTACAGTCCTTAGAGTCAGGGGATTAGACGACTTCTGATCCTGGTTACTGACATTACTGACTTGCTGCCTTGACATTGGACAGGTCACTTAGGCTATATCTATATTGCAGGCTTCTTTCAGAAGAAGCTTTTCTGGAAGAGAAACTTGCATTTCAGCTGTGATTACTATGGCTGGAGTGGCCACTAGGCCACCTGTGCTTTTTCTTCTTTCCTCCTCTTTCGAAAACTCCCTCTTCCCCGTCCACACACGCCTTTTTCCGAAAGAGCTCTTTCGAAAAAAGTCTTCTTCCTCATAGGATTACCAATGTCTGAAAAACTCTTCTCCTCTTTCAATTTTCTTTCAGAAGGAGATTGCAATGTGGACATAACTGACTTTTTTTGGAAAAATGGCTGTTTTTCTTAAAAAAAAAAAAAAAAAAACCAAAAAAACCAAAAAAACACCAACTCTATAGTGTAGACATACCCTTTGAGAGAGGGTTCACCCCCACTTTCCTTCCCCCCTCCCAGGGGACATCCAGCTCCCATTACCTTTAATGGCAGTTGGGCACTTAATTGGCCTTTGTGCCTTTTGAAAATCTCCCCCATAACCTTTTGAGTTTAAATTTCTCAGAGGACACTTATTATATAACTGGCAGATGTGTGGTGAGGTGTAAATGCATGTCTGGTAAGTAAAAAGATGATTGTCAGTGACAGTTGGGGGCAGAATTTGGGTATAAAGCTAAGCATGTGTAACCACTAAGACTTTCAGCGGTTACAGAGTTATCTTTATAAACAGTTTTTACATCCCTATCTAAACTTACAGCACCTAATTAAAAAAGAATATCATGAAGGAATCTTCACTTCAGCACCATTTTGTGGAACACTGTTCTGTGCAGCTTGTTAAATAATAAATCTGTCTTTTGAAAGGCTTTGCCTTGTGTTGGATTTGAACAAACACTTTATTTGTTAATGAGGTACTTATAAAGATCAGATTTTTGCTTCTATGTATATAGAGATTAAGTACTTGAGACACAGCAGCTGTCCTATGGTAATGAACTAGGTCAATGGCCTGATTGGGCTTGTATAGTAACCGTTTATACTTTCACTAAACATCTTTATACATTTTTACCATGCTTGTACTTAATATATGATCCTCTTAGTAGCTGATACATAACATACCTCCTACATGTTTTAATCAAAATATTTACTTTTTTTTTAAATAGACAGAAATCGCCAAGAGATTAAATACGATTTGTGCACAAGTCATCCCATTTTTGTCTCAGGAAGTAAGTAAAACTGTTCAGCTGTTAAAGTGCAATTATGTTGCTTTTCTGTTTGCAAATTAGCTAGTTTTAAGATGTTAATTTTATCACAATGCACAAGTGTGAGGAACATCTGTTTAGAGCTGAAGTGTGCAACCCCCCTGCTAATTTGGTTGAACATCTGAGTTTAAACTAAAGAACTGGTGACAGTATCTCAAACCTCAAATTAATTCTCTTCAGGAAAAAATGTAAAATTACTATAAAACACTTTGTTTTCATTTTTAATGAGAATACTAAATTAACTGCTGCTTAGTAGTGTTAAATTCAGTGTAAATAAGAATGTTGGCCTTCAATACTAAAATACTTATTATTTTTGGGTAGGTAACATGCAGTTGGTAGCTCAAATGTCATTTTAAAGGTATAAAAATGTTGCATGACTACAGCTGTAGCATATTAGAGTACTTCTATTCAGTTTTGGAACCTGCTTTGGATTAGATTTTCAAATACTGCATAGTTTGCAAAGACTATTATTTGTAGTTCTTGTTAAGTTAAATGTAGGTAACTGCCTTGTCTTTTAGTTACTATGTTCATTATATTGAATGCAGATCTTATAAATGACTTATAAAACAGACACTAGTTTAAAGTTGTCAGCACTTTCTCATCTCATTTGGAAACCATTTAAGTTGTTTGTTTATGACTTTTGCCTTACTCTTAAATAATAAGTTATAAAACAAGCCCTGTAACTTAAACTGGCACAATATGACTTATAATAGTCAACCTGGGATTCTGTCTTACTGGGCAGATTTCTATACATAAACTGTGTGTATACTGTAAACGTTTCTGGTCTGTTTTAATTTACTTTGAGGTAGAAGAAGAGACCTGGTATCGTTGTTTAAATGCTTAACACATCAACTCATTTTCCTCTTAAAAACAGCATCAGCAGCAAGTGGCCCAAGCAGTAGAACGTGCCAAACAAGTGACCATGGCTGAACTAAATGCCATCATCGGGGTACGTGGCCTTCCAGGTCTACCTCCTACAGTGTGTATAACCACCTTTCATTTCTTATTGCTTTGGTAGATTTAAAATAGATATAATTTTTTTCAGATTTAATTGTTTTGATACCTGCTATTGTTGCTCAAACTTCAACTTGGCTCACTCAAATTTTAGAGGGGGTAGAATTAACAGCAGTTTCTTGTGTAACAATGTCTTTTTAATTTCCTGCTACTATATATTATACAAAACCTTTGCTGCAAGAAAGATCAGCTTGGGAAAGATTTATTTATTGATTGATCATGGGTATTGTATACTACTTGATTTAAGTTACCTTTGTTTTGCCTCTTGCTTTTGTGACATTTGAGTTTTTGAAACCTGTACGACTATTCAGTCTTTTTCCTTTTCCTTTCTTCAGAATCTTTCATGAATTTTGAAGTAGTAGGCTAATGAAAAGAAACGTCTCTTGCTTTTGAAGTAGTATTAATTGTCTGACATAATGTTCTAATAGCCTTTCACCAAGTTTGTGCTGCTAACTATGCTGAAATAAGTTAATACTACTTACTTGTGACTGGCTGTCAATCACAAGTCATTTGTTTAGCATTAATGAACTCTGTGAACCATGCATTCCTTCCATGGCATGAGTTCATTTCCCCCACCACTAAGCATGGAATATTTATCATGTTTTCTGCCCTTCCAGACTAAGTGAAAGAAGTAGCCGAAACAAGACGCCATCCTTTCTGATTTTATTCATATGTGAGCGCCTTGAGCAGATTCAAATTACTCATTTATCAATTTATGTTAATTGCTTGTGAGAAGATGCCCTGCTGGTCTTTATAGTTCCCTCAGACACTTTGTAATGATAATTAGACATGCTGCTGTACGGATTAACAGTGCCATAGTCCAATGACGTCTACAGACAATGGAACCAGTTAATCCATCTGTGCTTAAAATTACATCCCAACTGGAGATAGGGGGTGGGGGGAAAATAAGAGCGAGGGAGGATTAAAAGAATGAGCCTCAGCTTGAAAACTCTCCTTTCATCAGTTTCTCAATTGCAGAGCTGCAGTCGGTTTGCCTGTGGTAAGCTATTGGCAGTCAATTAGGTGAAAAAAATGGGAGGGTGACCTTCATTTCCTTTTAATAGCTTTTTCCTCCCTCAAATGGGGAGGTTCAATGGATTTTCAGCTTAAATTTTATTCAAGATGTTTTGCATAAACATACCTCCTTCAAATCTGAGCCATGTTTTCCCCTTATTTTCAAATTTTGACTGTTACTGAGTTAATTCACTAATCATGTTTAATAAAAGTTAAATCTGCATTTATCTGTAGTCTTCTCTATGCTTTGCTTGTGTAATGAATTGCCTTATTTTGATGATCAAATCAAATATTCATACAGTATGTTTGCATGTATAATATTTGGTTTGCAAAGATTAATAGAGCTATGGGGGTTTTTCTGTTTTAAAAGGGGTCTGCTGAGGGCAGATCCTGAACAAAAAGTCCTTTCATATTGGACTAAACTTTTTCATTAAAACATCTGTCATTGGACCAAGGGATTGTCCTGATTATGGAGACTTCCTGTATAACAAAACTTGTACCACAGGGTGTTCAGCTCTCTGCTGCTAGTTCTACAACCACAACACACAATTAAGACTTTTTCTAGGCAATATTTTTTTGAGGTAGGAAGAGGTATTAATCTTATCAATGGAACTCCCAGACATTTTTAAACTGCCAATAATCCTTCAGTTGAAGTATATTCATGTGTGTTAAGAGAGTACTCACCAATGATGTCAAATTCAGATGTTGTGAATGAGGGTATAAACACGTAGTTAGCACAAACTATTTTAATTTTCAATGTAGAGCTCTGTTTTATGCATGCCAGAAATCAGATGCATGTCAAAGTGATCTTTTACAGTTTTAGGTGATCAATAATTATCCTATGCTGCACAATAAGTTTCATGCTCTGACATATGCTTGATTTTGTTTGAAAGGAATTGTGTGCATCCTGGAAAATCAGAGTAGCATAAAATTGGGTTGACAATTCAGTGGACCTTTGCTCTCCTTCATTGAACATGCAGTGTGTCAACCTGTCTCCCCAGAGGGGAGGAGGCATCAGGAGGCTGGCTGTTCCTACAAGCAGCAGCTGCGCTGAAAGTAAACGCAGCCCAGTTTGATAGCAGCTGTCAGTATTGTTCAGGGACCCAACTTAGTGTAAAGAACAATAGAGGGGCCATGCTCTTAAACTGCAGTGTCTTTCAGGCTAAGAAAAGAAATAGTAATTTAACGGTTTAGACAGCTATTATGAGTGTGAAAGATCATGAAAGACTTCTTTAAAATGCAAATAGGCTGAAGCATTCTCCAGCAGTATAAGGTACAATCAAGTAGCTTACAGCATCATAGTACTAAAGATATTTCTGTACTGTAGATGTTGAGGATGGGAGGGAAGTTATGCATTTTCTTAGCAGATATTCACTTAGGTGTTGTCCGTGACTAGGTAAAAACTGCGTTCTTGGCATTTGTCTGAGCACTGACTTTCTTTTTTTGAAACAAATTTTGATTCCCTGACATGGTATAATGACTTAAAATAATTGTTTCCAAATTTAGTCAGGCCTTCTGTGCTTCTCTGCCCCCTCCAGCACAGCTGGGCTAGAGAAGCTTACATCTGCTAGCACTGTGCCACTCTGTGCCATGCCTCCTGATAATCCCCGAGGTCCCTTCCTCGGAGATAGGCAGATTGAGGGAAGGGGTGCAATGGGGGGAGAGTGTGAAGCAGGGATGGGAAGAGATGTGGCTCAGCAGTGACTGGGCTTAGGGGAGGGTTACAGACATACTCTTCTGAACCGCAGGACTCTCATCCTGGAAGTGGCACATGGGCCGGATTGTGGAACTGCTCAGGCCATATATGCCCTACAGCTAGGTGACCCAGCGCTTGATATTTGGTGACTCAAGTGTTTGGACCTGTACTTTGAAAACCACTGGTCTAGCAGCATTACTAACACTTCCGCTTACTGGGCCCTTAGAAGAAATTTAGGCATCTAGCTAATTAAAATCATACTGGACCTCAGAGGTTGCTGGGCCAGGGAGTGCCAGACTAAAGATGTTCAACCTGCATAAATACACTAATTTAGATTGGAGGAATAATGGCTGTGTTGTTGCATTCATAAACTTTAATGGTTAAAAATAAAATGATTTGGATGTAATATCTAATACTATATCAATAGTATTAATTTCTTTAAATCATGGAAGGTGAGTTGAGATACTTGTTCGTGCACACACTTATCCTTAGCCTCTTCCAAATGGTTACTGAAATGAGTATTAACTGAGATTGTCCAAGTACTCATGTCAAGCCACTACATGTATTAGTTTAGTTGAGCTAAGGTGTGTGTGGGGTGGGGGTGTGTGTGTGTGTGTGTGTGTTTTCCAACTTTAGCTATTGGGTGGAAATATCTGATATTGTACATGTCTTCTATGTTTTTAATTACACCAGTCAGTGTTCATTGTGCTGCTATTTTCCACTAAAGTAAGAAGTAGTAGATTTGGTAGATATTTAAATGTAAGGTTTTGATAGGAAAGGATATGTGCACTTTTTTAATTCCTTGGCACCACCAATTTCAGTGTTTTGCCTGAAGTCTGTTTGGCAGTTGGGGAGAATCCAGATCCTGGTATGAAAAGATTATGTGGATTATCATGGTAGAACTTGAAGGGATTTTTTTTGAGATTTGATTAAGCAGCAGGCTGGAAAAAATCAAAGATGTCCTATCAGCTCACAACAGGAATAGGGACAGTTATAATTAGTCTGTCCCAATGTCAGCAATAACATAATTTTGAAAGACTTATGTCCTAGGAACATTAATAAAATCCAGACCTTTACAAAAGTGCATTCTTAATTTAGAATGACAAATCTGTAAACTGGCAAGGTATTTTAGCATAGAGAATGTAGCCTACAAACCTGAATACTTAGTTTGACATTAGTTGCTAATGTTTTTGTGAAATAGTATCTTTTTGGGTTGACAGTATTTTCAGGACAGATTGAGTTGTAGACCTCCAAAAGAGCTCTTCACTGTTGCATGAGGTGATTGGCTAAAGGATTAGCAAACTGCTGAATTATTTTTCTCTCCTTGGCTGTGGTTGCCAGCTATCTCTGGGATAGTAGTGTGTGAAGCTTAAGAGGATGAGGTTAACCTCTTGAGGGTTTATTCTTATGAGTGTGTAGTTAATCCTTGGAAAGCCTATAAATAACTAGGCTGTATGTTTCATTATAAAATAGAAATACAGACTAGAACAGAAATGAATGCAAAATTTTGTGCAAGGGAAGAGCTAAGCAGCTGTAGCGTTACTTCAGATCCTCCTCAGCAGTCAGCTGTTTTTTGTGCCAAGTATCTGTGGGAGTTTCTACAGCAATGGCTTATTAGTTTTCTGTGGAAAAAGAAAGCTGAGTAGAAAATACCTATGCATCTTCTTGTTCACTTCATAGTATTGCATGCCAGCCTATAAGAAACAAGCTAAAACTTAGCTGTTCAGATACTTTGTGCATAATTAAGAATTGTATGTATGTGCACAAATCTGCTGTTGTGCTAGAAATTACATGGGATTTCTTACCATGTATTTGCATTAGAGACGTAACAAGTAATCTATTTCCTTTTATCACTGCTGAGGCAAGATTTATCATCTTGAGAGCAAGTGACTTGTTCAGCATTGAGGATTAAATTAGATACCTTGACTTTCAATTACTTTTCTTTTACCTAATTTCCCCACTTCTCCTCTTCTCCCCACACTCCCCCAAAATGTGAGCACCCATTTCTCAAGAGTCAGGCCACAAACTAATTGCAGTTCTCAAAATACATTTTCTTGCAAGAGGCCAACAATTACATACACTGTCTTGGAGCTTTTATGCAGCCCAAGCAATGAAGAACATATATGTAACTTTCAATTAATATCCAAAGGTGACCTGTTTAGAAAATAACTATATATGTAGTTTTTACTGTATAAAGAAGACTTGAAATGGGGATTAAATATGCATGAATTTGGAAATGACAAATGTTAAGTTTT